ACCCCATCAAGACGGAGGGACGAAGGGAGACACACCCCTGCAGCGCGAGTGCCGCGGAAGCGGCGATGGAGGGAAGAGTCTGAAGAGGAGCAGCATCAAGAACCCTCTACTCCCATTCGACCGCGGCCGCTGTGCGAGCCATACAGCCGGCCGAAGCAGAAGGCACGCAGACTGGTGCTACCAGCTGACAGTGCAGACACGGCGACAATTGCGACGGAGATAGGAAGTGCGTCGCCAGAGAGGCGAGAGGAAGCGCGGTCGACCGCACGAGCGACGGGCCACGCTGCAACCTCGTCGGGAGAGAGGCCGCCTACGGGCCAAGGGCCTCCGGAGTTACCACGTGCGATGCGGACAGATGTTCCGTTTGCGCACAGGCGAACCTCCGCGGACGGACGAGCCTCCGCGAACCGGCGAACACAAGTGGACGTGGATCTACGCTTACGCGTGGGAAGGAGCAGTCCGCCTGTGCACAGGCGCTCGCCTGTGCACAGGTCGCCTGTGCACAGGACACCTCCGCACGTGCCGCATGTGCACAGGCAAGAATCACCCCCGTTCCAACGTAGGAAGGGGAAGGAGCCGGCGGAAGAACCGCCTACGAGACACCGGCCCTCGGGGCCAGACCCTCCGGCGCACCACGCGCCGCAATTTGCGCCTTCGGCGCCAGGGCCTTCGAGCCGAGGAGATACGAGCAGAGAGCGTGCGGAGGCCGCACCATCGGCGGGAAGTCCGCCGATAGATGCGCCTTCGGCGGTAGGGCCTATAGGCCAAGGAACATCGGGCGTGTGGCCCCCGGCCATGTCGCCTTCGGCGATAGATGTCCGCGGCGCTACGCCTGCGACGGACAAGGCGCCGGCAAATGCGCCTGCGCACGGGCCGGGCACAGCCCCCACGGACCGATCGAGGGAGCAGCAGACGGAGGAGCGGAGTGACTGTCCGCGGGATGAAATCTCGATACGCGATGCGCAATCCAACCCCGCGCAGCCACCCTCCGCTCAATCGCCTTCGGCGACGGACGACGGCGACAGAGAGAACGCGGTAGGCAATCAACCAGCGAGCGACGGGGATGCCGCTCGGGTACATTCGCCTTCCGCCTTAGACATTTTGGCGACGAGCAGCGAGGCTGCAGCCGTGCCTTCGCAGGCAGCACACGTCGACGACGTGCAGCCCCACTCGGGGCAGTCGCCGACGCAATCAATGGCGACTGAAATTCTCCACTCGGATGATGACGACGGGGGCTCCACGGAAGAAATGTCAGGAGCAGAAGACACCGAGGAGGAGGAGGAGGAAATTGTTGGAGCGCCGGCGGCGGCGCTCTCTGAGCAGGTGATTCCGTTGCTGCGGTACTTGGATCGCAAGGTCGATAAATACGCCGACCCACTCCAGCCGGGATCTTACATCGAGTTAGTGCGCAGGCGGACTCGCACTAAAGTCCACACCAGCAAGCTATTAGCTAGAGTGGACCAGGAGTTGAGGGACTTGAAGGAGAAGCATGAGTGCTTGTGGGGACAGTACAAGCTTAATCAGAAATTCTACAAGCACTCCGAGAAGATGAAGGATGAGAAACTGGGCGAGCTCACCAAGGAGCAGGTGAAGGTCAAGGAAGCACTCGATTCTGAGCAGGCCCAGAATCGGATTTTGTCAGAGGAGCTCGTGCGACAGACGCGGTTGTTGGAACAATGTCAGCTCGCACGGCAGGCGGATGAAGAATTAATCCGCAGGTTACAGTCAGAGTGTGGCGAATTGAGGGCGCAACGTGCTGAAGCCGAATCGCAATTAGTGATAATTGAAGAGGATCGCAGGAAGGAGGCGGATCGCACGAAGGTGGAGACGGCGAGGCGAGTCGCCCACTGCCTCAAGGGCTACGCCCACTGGGAAGTGAAGGCGCAGGAGAAACTCACACTGCGTGAGTTTGAATTGCGCGCAGCCGGGTTGTTGTCAGGCGACAGTAGGAGTCGGCGGAAGGTAGCGAAGAAGCTCGAGGCCTTTCTGTCGAAGGCACAGGATACCATGTCCGCCCTCGAGGGGGAGGTGTCCGCGGCGTTGCAGAGGTTGGGACTGCGCAGTCGAGCGGAAGAGTGGCAGGGTAGGGAGTTAGTGCGCGGCAGTCGGCCGCGCAGGAGACGTAGTACAGGTTCCGCGGAGTGTAGTGTAGCGTGGTTCCGTGCTGGCGTGTAGCGTAGTGCAGTATAGTGCTAGGTAGGACTTAGAAGGTATAAAATAGTTCCAGGCGTTTTGCCTGGGGTTCTTTCCCATCAGAAGTGCAGATCAGGAACCCATTTCCTTTGCGTGTTTGTGTCCTTGAGTTCTGTCACCACGCACGAGGAGTTACAACTTAGCGTTCCGCATTTTGTAGCTGAAGGCCTGCGGCCGAATGTTCAGAGCTAGTCCATTGGTTAGAGACTTGAGTAGTTCGGATCTGCACCTGCGGGTGACTGCCGATGCTCAGAGCCAGTGACTAGTTAGATACTTGAACAGTTTCGCCCCTACACCTTCGAGTGTTTCTTTCTGATTGTACTCCTTGGGATTTTTCCCCTGAATGCCAAAGTGAAGTTTTGCTACTTCGTGTAAGCCTTGGTTGTAAATTCAGGTTACGCTGCAGCAGGTGCCTTGAGGGTAACCCCTGTAGTATTTCTAGGAATGACAAGTGCCTGAGAATTCAAACTCTTCAATAGACTGTTGTTGTGTTACTGGAATGTTTCTCCGTGAGTCCTTCAGTGCGGACCTGTGTTCTCTGCGCGTTTTGTGAGTTGAGAGTGTTGTTCACCGCGTATGAGTGACTTCGATCCGAAGTAGGCAGTCCAAACCGGGTTTCCTACACTAGCAGCAAGCTAGTGGAAGTGTTGTAAAAGCCGGAGTTGGAAGTCACTGCCCGCAGCTTTGCCGAGTGTACTCTTGAGAACCTTTCCCCCTGAAATCTTGAAGTAGAGGTCCTAACGGATCTCTGGGTGGTGTTTCTGTAGTTTCAGGTGTGTGTGTGTGTGTGTTACGCTGCACTGTGCGACCTCCGAGTGCGCTCCGAGTGGACACTTGCAGTATTTCTGGGAGTGACAGTCGCCTGAGAATTCAAACTCCTCAATAGTCTGTTAAAACGTGACACTTTGTACCCTGTGTGTTCCTCTGTCCCTATGGGTTCGACCTTTCTACCACTATATTGCAGTTTTAGCCTTTAGTGGGTTATTACATCCCCTTCCTCGCCGGCACATTTGCCCAACACCTGCGCCCAATTGCAAATTTCCCATCTCTCTGGGTGTGGGCGAAATCCGCGAGAAGGCTTGTGTCTCTCTTGCAGATACTCGCGCACCATCTCCGGACATGTCCAATTCCACCCCAGAGGAGAAAATCGAGCTTCAGCCTCGTCAGCACATCTTGAAATGCGCGTAGACCGATCTGCGGCACCCTGAGTGGAGACACTCGCAGCTGGGGAACCTTCGACATTGCGTTGCCTGCACACACAAACGTTCTCCCTTTCGCTCGCTCTCTCACAATCGCCACTGCGCGTCGGCCACTCAAGCACTGACTGCTCACTCTCTCTGCGCTCGTTCAAGATCGCTACTCCCAATTCTTTCAAGGTCCGCCAAGATCCTTGGGCAACTCGTCTCCGCACTCTCTACTCTCACTGCAGGTCGCTCCGCCCTTGCGCGTAATCTTGGAACTGGAAATTGCAAAGTCAAGAATGAGAGAATGAGGCTGGAGCGCAGTCTTTTCTTCTCCGATTTCAAGAACGTCCAACGTTCTTACGGGTTGCAACGTACGCAGCCGGCTATACGGCTTAATGGTTCGCCCTTTGCATGCGCGAATTCACGTCTCCGCATTGCGCGCATTCGCATGCTTAAACGTTGAATTCTCCCGCCGCCGCCACCTTCCGGACTCGAGTCCGCTGCAGGGTATACGTCGGCCCTGTTGTCTTTTCCTAACCCGCCCTTCTCCGGAGGCGTGTCGCCGCTGGTGCGTTCATTATCCGTCGGCGCCTTGCTGGAGGCGCACATCCAGTCGGATCGAATTATGCCGGCGCGCAGTCGTACCGCCTATTTTGTCCTTTATGCTTCGTCCGTTGCTGCCGGCGCATATCCGCTAGCGCATCCGACTGTCAGCGCCACGTCGGAGGCGTACATCCGACCGGCGCTTTCCTTCCATGAACAGCCGCCAAAGGCGCTTTCGACTCTGAGTGGGTTTCCTCCTATGAGCGCGTGATTCCACCGAAGGCGCATCGCCGAGGGCGTACGGGAATCCTTTCCGGCTGTGAACCCTAGCGCGAACGGCGCATGTCCGGCTACGAGTTTTCCGACGCTCATAACTTCTTCATTCCTGATCCATCTCCGACGCTCTTGGACTCGTTAGAACGAGCATCCCGAGCTCTTTCTAATGCAACTTCAACCAACTGGATCTACCGTGTATCCCGATTGTTATGAAGGTTTTCCCTTTCCGCGCTAGCGGCGCTTCGCCGAAGGCGCACTCATGGTCGGATGCCTTTAGAGGTCCGGGCCCTTCTCCGGACGTCTTTAGTAAAACCTCCTCCTGAGGTGTCTGCGCCGGAAGCGTAGCTTCCTTATACGCTAGAGGCGCGTGAATAGAGACACCTCAAAAAGGAGCTTTTGCCGAAGGCGCCGAAGACGTTGGCGTTGGTACATCCGACTACGTGATTCTTTGTGCCCTCGTGACGATCTCATCAATCCACTCTATTTAGCGTACCCTTCTCTAGCTACAAAGACTGCTTTGGTACTAGTTTTCTAAAATTGTTTAAATTCTGCAAAAAAACAAAAAGTGTGTTACCACAGGTTTATTGGGAATGACAATTCCGCACTCAAAGTAAATACTCAGATTCCACTCCTTTGCCTTGACAATATGCAGGAACAGGAAGGTTAAGAAACATGGCGAAGTTAACTACGGAGAACATTCAGGGGATACCACAACCCTACACTCCTTTCAAGCTGATGAATGCAGATTTGAAGAAGTTCCTGGCAGTAAAGAGTGAATACCCGGAAGCTCCACTTGTGGAAGACACAGACATCAACACTCTTGAAGTATACTGGTACCTCGTGTCATCCGTGAAGCGAGAGGCGTCTTACAACATAATCAACATGAAAACCGGGCTGGCGCTGACAGCAAAGAAGTCCAGTTCAGGCGAGAATGAAGTATACATGAAAACCTTGGAGGAGTTCGATGAGAATCAGCTCTGGGTTTTTCTCCCCGCGTCGTTCTTCTCATTCGGGTTCTACCGTGTCCAGAATTACAGTGCCAGAGTGGACCTGACGACCAAAGCGGTGGAAGATGGGAACTCTGTCACCGCCATCGTTCTTGGTGATGGACCTGAGATATTCAACCTGCAGTGGCGATTCAAATTCAGCGTGGGCGACAGGCAAGGGATTCCTCCTCCTTCCACGCCTTTCAGGCTCATGAACTATGAACATAACAGGTTCGTCTTCGGCGAAGACAAAGTTTTGTTCCTGAGAGACACGATCAACAATTTCTTAGAGCAGCAGTTTAGGCTCGTGGCACCACCATACCAAAAGTTGAAAGAATTCGGCCAAGCCTACATGATCCAGAGCCTGCTGTCGCACGGGTATGTGGCGGACTATGGCGAAGCGGATGGTAAATTAAAGACACTGCAATTGGCCGAGAGGGATGTGGAGGATGGGAGACAGTACTGGATCATCGTTCCTTCTAAGGAGTACGCTGGTGGTTTCCGGCTGCGAAATGTTCAAACCCAAGGTTATCTCCTGAACGGCCCCACGCACCTTGGCAACCAACTCAGCACCCTGGACATCATCAAAGAATGGCCCGATCAGGTCTGGAACTTCTCGCTAGTTCTTCCTGCTCTCGAGTAGCAGTCAATGGTATGATCTGATCGGGCCTGACCGACGGAGCTGCCGTGAACTGGAAGCCGTGGCGGCCTGTGTATTTCCTTAATGTCCTCACCGTGCTCAATATTGAAGCCGTGCAAAGTGATGGTGATTTGCGCTGCTGGGCTCTCGGTTGAGTTAGGACATTGTTTTGATTTGTTTGTACGATCTTAATACTCCTCCCTATGCTCTTTTCAGCTTTGTGCTCTTCCTCCTCGTACCCTCGCCGATCATGTTGGTCCTCTTCATGGAACCACAAGGTTAGCCAGCGTTATGCGCTAGGATGATAAATGGTACGGTCTGGCCATTATCAATAACTATCCATGTTCATAGTGCTGGAAATAAGTACGTAGTCGGAACAGCCTGCCTCGAGTTGTGAAGCATAAATCCTTCACCAGCGTTTGAATCTTAAAGTACGGATTGACTCTTACAATCGCACACTCTTCCTGATTATGGAGCATGTCATGAGTCTGCTGAGCTATGGGTTGATTTTGAATTCTTGAGTGTATGTATGTGCTTGAGTTCTTTCATGGTTATCACCTCGAATGCCGGAACGCTTGTCAGCTTTCACGCCGCTCAGATGCGAACGATCTGCTCACTGCTCATAATGGGGTACATGTTGCACGAGCTCAGCGACGTGAAGAGTGCGTCCGTATATGTTGGTTACGAGAAAGCACATATCTGACTGTCTGTTCCGACGTATGACATATTTCAATTTCTGTTCGTGATATCCATATATGGTATTGGTTCCTTCACTGAGCTTTTCTTGCAACTGGACTCTCACTGTTTGATGAAATTTTACCTTGAGGCAGCAGAAATCGTATGAGAATGTAAGTAACGAGACGTAGGGTGCGAGTTGTATAGATGTAACTCAAGTAGGATCAGAGGAAGAACATTTCTATAACAAAAAGAGGAACATGAAAAACAGATATAGAAGTTTGGAAAAGAAACGAAACGTTCTTAGCCAGTACTCGCCTCCTATGACAGTCGAATCTGTAAATTGACTGCTGATCTCAGATACCGAGTGGAAGCAAATTTGGCAGATTGGGCCCAATGCCCCCAAACACTGAACGTAAGCCTTTTCGTAGGATATCGTCTCCCTTACCAACCAACTACTGTTCGTGACATATGTGTGGGTCGGAAGGTTTGGCGTGTATTTGACTTTCACACGTCGCGATGTCTCTTTCAGCGAGCCAAGGTTGTTGATATATTCGCAGTTTCATTCTAATCCCATCATCTAACCACGTCAAATGTAGTCAAATTCCTACTATTCAGCAATTTATTCCGTTGGAAGATCCTTGTACACCATCTTGTAAATTCTTGTGATTCTAAAAATTGTTTTGCAACAAAGCAACTCAGAATAAGGTTTTAAAGTCAAACTTGAAAAATGAGTATCGAGTTCAACTTATTCATTTGATTCTTGTAACCATTTGATTCCTTCTCCTGAAATTCTTTGAGGACACAGAACCCTGAAAGTGCAAGAATTTGCGTCAGGCAAGCCACCAGAACACAAATTTCTAAGTGCAATTTCCTATTAGAGGCTTTTATCGAACCTCCGATGAAGATGTCTACACTCAGCTTTGGATGTGATAGAGTGTGGCTATTGTGAAGCATTGAAAGCTATAAGAGCATGGGCTTTTTGAAACTCATTGTGAGTCTGGCTCCACCATAATCGTTTCTCTGCCCAATGATTATCGCGGATTGTGCTTGTGAGCTTTTGAAGGAACAAAAATATCAGTTCAAGATTACATTGATTGTTAATGGAGTTACTCAAGTTGTGACTGGTTTGTGAATGTTAATCCATTTTAAAATTCTTCGGCATGTTGAATAGAGACTATTAAGAGTGAGGACTCACAGGCCACTAGGCTTGTAGTAGTTACATATAAAGACTAGAGAAAGTTTTGGAAAGTCATTTGGAAAATCAAGGCTTTATACACAATCTTTAGTTTAGATGTTATGTGACACTGGATACCACATTGGATACATCAGAAGTAGCTTAAGAATAATAAATCTGTGGATGTAATCAACGGACAAAGTACAAATGGGAACTCAACACAAATCATAAGAATCAATCAAGCAAACGCTAAATATGCGGATAAGAAATGATACATCCTTCAACATGTTATTTAGAAACTTGGAGTATCTATGTTTGAACAAAATAATTCAATAAAAGCATATTGTCCAAATGTTTGACGGTAAAGGAATTTAAGAAGCCATGAAAGCAAAAGGAAAAAATCAGAAAACTAATGTGCTATCTGAAGGGTCTACCACATAGACATCAAGGTCTTAGGTGACGCCATCAAAAACTAGCGAAGAAGCAATCACCTCTGTAAATTAAGTGGAGAAGGAGATGATGCTATTTGTTATGAAGTTGAATGAAATGAGAGGGAGACTTGTCCGATACTTGTCGCGAGTGGTTAAATCTAACGTTCGAAAGAGAAGGCATTTCAGGAAGGAGAGAGAGACAGAGGAGCTAAATTATATTGTTGAAATAATCACAATATGATATTTTTGCTGATCTGATCGATATATCCATTTTTCATTCTTGCATTGGATCAGCAAAGATGCATCGTCAGGTGTAACGGCTACAAGGCTTGTTGTCTCAAAGGCATTCGTGGTCAGTTCAGCTAGATTATTATTGAGCTCTCTGCCAACCGAGGTTAGAAATCGAAAGGCAATTTCAACAAGTTTCATAAGATTTATCCTTGACCTTCTCTCATTTTATGAGTCCTTTACCTGAAGCAAGCAATGATTGCCACTAAAAAGCTCTAACAAACCTTGAAAGGTTAGAGTTAGAATAAGAAGCAAACATGATGTTTAAACAGTCATGGATTGCAAACAAAAGACTATTAATGGATTTGTAGCACTCAATCTAAGTTTGAAAGCCTGATGGAAAAAAATAAAATTACTCATCTCCTGTTTCCTGATCTGACTGATCGCTTTCTTACAATCTATTGAAAATAGACTTCAGTTTTTACCATTTTTTCCATGATTTGAATACGTTCACAACTCAGCTTCAATACAAGTTAAGAAGATGGAGTCTCAATAAAATTCAAGTTCATGAGTGTCAATAGAGAGAGTAAACAGACTCATCATTCACAGGAGAGGCTTAGTCTTTACAGTCATGAGTCTAGCACAAACTCAGTCTAACTCGTCTAGTCTAGCCATGAGTTAGCTAATTATAGCAACCATGACATTGTTTTTCAATACTTAACATTAGTTGAAAGTAATGTTGCATTTAGTGCTGTTGGGATTGGTAGTGCCATCACGATACTTCAGATCATGGTTTAGAGGTAAACTCTGAATGCTATACAGCTTATTTTCCAAATTGAGACTTTGAGAGGACAATCATGTGAAAATTGGCATGTGCATGGACTACAATTGTTTGAACCTGAAAGTGGTTTTGCCTCTAATTAAATCTTTATGACATGAAGGTTGTGGTGGCTGAAGTTTTAATGGTTAGAGTGGATGAAACGAACTCATCTTTGTACAGGAAGCAGTAGCTATGAACTAAACCAGCAACTTTTTATTCTCAACTCAATATCGAGTAGAAGGTGTCGAAGACAACTTAATTTCAGGCAAGGCGGGATGGACGAGAGAAGAAATGGAGTGAGAGACGAACTCCGATTGCTCGTCCCGACAACGGACTGGAGTAGCTTCTGTCCGAAGTAAAAAGCAAGTCGAGACTTAAATATAAAGGCACCAACAGCATATGGCCGATGACCAGGATTAACAAGAGTGAAAGCACCAAATCGAAACTCCTAGCTGGTGGGAAGTCTGATAAATAGGGACACTGTCACGTCAGAAACCTGAAGTTAAAGTTTCATTTAATCTTGTTTCTTCTCAAAGATACACTTATATTATTAGAGGACTTGAAGACGGAAAATTTTCTGTGAGTATGAGAAAGTGCAGAAGTGAGCATGCAATGGCGGAGTGTACTGAGTGAAAACCCTCGACGAAGTATCTCCACAAATCCACGAAGTATCTCCTTAGGCTTTCTCAGAACAGAAGAAGAAGAAATCCATGCTTATATATATGTTTTTTATATGCTTATATTGCTTAAATTTTTTATATATATGTGATTACAATGTTGACCGCCTCTCCAGCCACAACTCCGGGGCTAGTCTGCCCGTACCCGTAGCGGCTGCTATTCATGATTTTGAGACTATGTAGAAGACATTTTCACGAAGATATGCCTCGCGAATACGCTTGTTGGCTTTTGCAACCGAAAGCATGATTACAGCGCAAGTGAAAGAAGCAGAAACCAGAAGTGGACACTCGTAGTTCTATTGGACCCTACATCGCGAAAGACTGATATGTAGGCCACGAATGGAGTTCGTGTTGTACAAGAGACCTCAAGGCTTCGCAGCCTCGGTTATTCAAAATGTGCGCGTCATCACTCGGTTCACAGCCCAGGTGCCCTTCATATATAGCAACCTCGATCTTCACAGGAAAGCTAACCCAGGACGAGCTCTAGCTGGTGTCAACTGACCGAAAGGATTGACATGAGGTGTATAGACATTGAGATGACAGACCCTTCCTCAGCTACTGAGAACGGTGCTGGGGTATCGAAGATCTCGAGTAGGAGAGGACATGAGACAGTTACAGAAGGCTTTTGTACGTATGATCCAATAAACATCGTTAGAAAATCTCATGATACTTCTAAAAATCAGCCTGAACCCATGTATTAATGAAAACCTATAAGAATGTAGGATTGATGTAGCAGTGTAAATATTCTGGCTACATCTTTACTTCTATGTTCATTATATAGAAACAATACATAGTCCAGTCTCCAACTGTCAATGTAAGATCGTGGAGCGAAGTAGCATCCACACCATTATGAAAGATAGCAGAGTCCAATGAAGTGTGAATGTGGGGGAGCTCGGCTGTGCATTTCCTGAGTACATTGAACATCGGAAAACAGTTGAAGCTCGCAGAGATACTAACAGATATCTGCAACTCAGGGGCATGAGATGAACATGTTTGCTTGTAATTCAACGTGGAACTGCGGCTGATAGAAAATTAAGGCTGGGCACCGCTGAAGAAAGGTAAATGCCAAGCCTGAACTCGGTGACAATCGTTGCTCCTGCAAATGAAGAGGAACCATGCCTTTGATGTCTCCATATGTAAAACAAGCAACAATCAAACAGAATTGAAGAAACTATCCACGAGTGCCAAACAATTGTGTTCTGAAAGTGCTTCGCCATTCAGATCAGCACCGGCACGGATTTCTCATGAGGAGGCTCAGATTTCGCATGCACGTGTATCTCATGACCTCGATATTGCACATGTATCAAAATCAGTTTGTGACCAAGTAGCACATCAACGTGTTCACGTGCGCGTCTTTGACTCGTTGACTTGTCGTGAGCACTGCTCTGGGTCGATTTACTATTCATGATTTATTGATGTGCTTTGCCCACAACAGGTAATGCAGTC